TGAGGAAAAGGAAGCCCCACAAAGCCCAGGATCCAAGAGGCCAAATGATTTTTTTTTAACGGAGCTTCCTAGGAGCCATGGAGAAAACAGAAACACACCTGTATGCAAGTGGTCAGGACAAGAGTAATTCTAAAACTTGGAAAACTGCCCAGTAGCTCAAGAGAATTGGGCCTTTCCTGGCTTGGCAGTTCTCCTAAGGGAAACACTATGGGAACCTCAGGAAGATCCAACACCCTTCCTCAGGTGGTTCTGGAGAACGCACTTCTCTCCATCTCTTCAGAGACGTCATGTGGGTAGCAAACAGTTTGAAATTACAGGCATAGTAAGAACCAGCCTAACATGTACATTTTCTGTTACCAGCTGAAGGAAGACCTATGTGCATTAACAATCAATCAAGTGAGTCAACCTCTGCATAAAGAGAAGCTAAAAGAATATGTCTGGGAATATCTATGGGAATACCTATGAGAATACCGGTGGGAGAGCTGTGAGAAGCTGTTTTCCTTAAGAGAATAGCTCTGAATCTGCTCCCACACCAAGAAATAATGTCCAGATCCATCAAGCTAAGCCTTGATCATTTTAGCTTACAATAATTTTCTTCAAAGCACATTTTACAAATCTCCCAAAAAGGTTTTAGGAAAACCCTCACACTGTATCTACAGACACCTAATGTTAAGCAAATATCACCTCCTGATGAGTCCCCCAAATGGCTTAGTAGGAAAACGTCACCCTAAGTGAGTAAAAGAATGAATGTAAGTCACAGGTTGTTGAATGAAAGCCAGTTCCATGTTGGAGGACATCTGCCAAAAATGACAATTGGGGAGTTGGAGCTTTGGAGCCGTTCCCCTGAGTCTTTTTTTTTTTTCCTGAGAGCAATGAGAGTAATTGTCTGGGTTGGTGACAATAAAACCATGTCATCTGCATAGAAAAGACTTTTAAGTTTCTGTTCTTCATAACAAAGGGCAATTCATTCAATTCATCCAAAAATTCTTTCAAGTCATAAAATACCTGTTAAAGGGAGCAGGGACCAAAACCCACAGTTCTTGCGCTCTGTTGAAATCCTGGCCTGCTTCATCAAGACCCGGCTTCTTCCAACTCCCCTGTGCTGAGGGCAGGTTCCGTCTAAGCGCCTGGCGGGGGGCCGGGGGCGGGGGGATAGGACTGAGTGCCTGTCGTTTAGCCCATAACTGGTTCCTCTCCACATAATTAGTTTCCCTCCACTGAGTCAAAGGCCAAAATCAGTCATTGCTGCTGCAATTCTTATATTGTTCCTGACAAATTTTTGTGCAAGTGGCATAAAAAGGTCAACAGTATAAAATAAATATGCTGAAAACCCAAGGGCTTCTTCCTACTAAATTTCAGCCTGAGACTCTCAGCCTTGCAAGTTATAAAGGAGGAAAATAGATGGTTTCGTTGGACAGTCAAGTAAAACGATGGGGGGGAAATAGAGGATGAGCCTTTGCAAAGCGGGATAATCTACCCTTTGGGTCCATCCAGACAAGACCACATGCGTAGAATTAACTAGAACTTTTTGAAATTACTTGCACACACACGGCGGCATTCACCTCCAGGAGGACTGCCAGTGACTTCCCACCACCCTGGCGTCCGCAGCCATGCGTAGCCCCTTCCAGGTTGTGTCCGGTCGGGCTGTGTGACCCGTGTACCACGTCAGAAGTAAGGGGATGTCACTCCAAGGTTAAGCTACAAATGACACTGCAGCCTCTGCAGGGTCTCTCTTTTATTAATATTTCTCTCTCCCTTTCTCTGTCTCTGTCTTCCTTCCCTCTCTCTCCTCTCCTATTCTAGGGGATTTTAGCTTCTATGTTGTGACCAGCCCTATGCAGAGGCCCACATAGTGAGGAACCAAGGCCTCCAGCCAACAGCCACGTAGGTGAACCTTCTTGGAAGCAGGCCCTCCGCCCACAATCCAGCTGACGTTTTGACCCTAACTCCACAAGAGACCCAAGGTCAGTACCACCCACCTAAGCCACTCCCAGATTCCCGATCCTCAGAAACTGTGTGACATAATTTTATTTTGCTTTCTGAAAGTGTTTATCAAACCAAGAACTACAATGACAAAATCCACATTTACCCAAATCAGTTTTAACTTGCCAGCAGCCCACCCTGATAGTGGGTGAGGAAGGGAGGCCAAGACATCATGTGACATTTTAAGATGTCAAAAAAAGCAATTTGCACCAACTTGAAAGTTTTATTTCTCTCTTTGTAATACCCCTACTCTCTGAGGTGTGGTGACCATGAGTTCTAATTGTCTTGGGCACGGCCACATGTATAGTCAAGGTAGGAGGGATATTATCGCCTCGTCCCTACCTGAAAGCCACTCCCTGGACACTGTAATAAGTAAGACAGGAGAATTGTAATACACTTGGCAGCATTGTGTCCTCCAAACTGCTTACCACAACTTTTATTTTTATTATTTATTTAATAATAATATTTATTATTTCTTTAATTATTAATTGGATTTATTTATTTATTTGTTTGTTTGTTTGTTTGTTTGTTTGTTTGTTTTTGTTGGCGGCATCGACGCCTTTGCCGCTCGTGGCGTCCTCAGGACGTGGCAGTTACCAGGGCTGTCCCACCGTCGGAGGGATCGAGCTCGGCGTGGGAGGAGACTCACTCAAGGTCCCCCTGTTAGGTGCTAGGGAGAGGCAGAACCCCTGACCCTCTCACCAGGCCATCTCCATGACGAGCTGCCTTCATGTCACTGTCCCTGGTCCCTCAGCCCGTGTAACCTGGCCCACAGAGCCAGGGCCCTCTTTGCACAGGAAGCCAGCACCACAGAATCCCAGACACACAGGGGACCAGACCCTAATTGCTCTGGATGGAAGCAATAAAGCAGGAGCCCCCAGACCTCAAAGCTCTCAACTACCTGCTACCTGCATCCCCCCCGACCCCGGTGCCTCCACGTAGATGCTTTCTGGCAAGTTCCTTCTTAAAACTCAGAATTTTAAAACAACTCAAAGAGAGAGTGTGGACGCGTGGAAAGAGCTTTGTGCTGGGTGATAAAAACGCAGGTCGAAGCTGTGACTCTGCCTCTCCCTAGCAACTAACAGGGGGACCTTGAGTGAGTCTCCTCCCACGCCGAGCTCGATCCCTCCGACGGTGGGACAGCCCTGATAACTGCCACGTCCTGAGGAGGCCACGAGTGGCAAAGGCGTCGATGTTGCCTGGGGCTTTGGAAACGGTCCAGCAGGGAGCAGCACAAGACCCGTTCTGAGATAACCGACGAGAGGGAGGAGTATGCTTCCCTCCCGCTCTCCTGCCTCTGTTCCTTCTTTCCCTGCATCACAGGAGAGAATCAGCCCCTGAACCAGTTCCTTAGGAAGTGCCCCGCACACGCGGACACACGGCGTCCCAAAGCAAAACCCGTGTGACCTTACCCAACCATCCACGGTGAAATAAAACTCAAATCTGAACACACTGAAGGGCCTTCCCTCCCTGGCCACTCTCCAGCACATCATCCTGCTCTGTTTTGTTCATGACATTGCCACGCATGGAAATGACAGTGGGCATTTTTGTATCATGAGTCTATTTTCGATGTCAACTCCACAGGAAGAGAAGAGGGAGCTTGTCTGTTTCAATCACAACTGTCTTCCTGGCGTGGCGCTCGTGGGCTGGCACGTCGGAGCGGGCGCTTGAAAAATGCGTGATGGATGCAGAAATGAACAGATGGCTCCAGCCTACCTGGCCAGCACGTGCTCCCCAAATACCTCTTTAGAAAAAGAAGTCCCTCTCCCATCACTGAGACTGGAACAGTGCACTGGGCAGGGGACTTTACATGCTTGCCTGTCTTCGAACAGATCACGTAAGGGAACGTACGTGACGACTCTTGTTCCTCCTCCCTCCACATCCAGTCTTTCTTTGATCCAAAGGGCCACGCAATCTCTTACACCTGTGAAGTCCAACAAGACCCTGTCACTGAGAGTGACCATCTTGTCCCTTCCCCCCACCCCAGAGTGGCAGTCCCTCAGGGCAGGGTCTATTGTACATCTTTCCGGTGGCCGGCACAGAGGAGTTGCTGGAGAAATATTTGTGACTCAAACACACATGTTACAGTGGGGCTGAGGCTAACTAACCGTGGTGGAGGCGGTGGGGGTGGTGGGGGCCGGCGGGGGTGGCGGGGGCCGGCGGGGGCAGTGGGGGCGGTGGGGGCGGTGGGGGCTGCAGGAAGAACAGCAAGTATCCAGGTCCACACAATGAAAGTATTTTCTGAACCTACCTGGGGGCAAGGTTCACCCCAGCAAGAGGCAAAAATAACAGGAAATCATCAGACAAAGCATTAAAATGGCAGGTGTGACTCTGACCCCCTCCAGTTCTTCACCTGCACAGGGAGAGGGTTGGACCAGGCAGTCTCTGGAGGCTGTGGAGAAAGGAGCAGAGAGCGGGTTTTAGAGCCGGACCACCTGGGCTTGAGCATCGCTTCTCTTACCGGCCAGCTGTGCAGCCTTACCACCTCTCTGGGTGCGTCTCCTCACTGTAAACCGTCGGGAATGGCACGCAGTCGATGAGGCTGCTGGTGGGCCAACTGAGGCAGGGTGGCCCACCCTTGGCTCCACGGCCTCTCCTCCCCTCCTTCACCGCCTCTGCTGGCTCAGCCCCGGAAGTTCCTGTCCCCACTCCTGACCAGCCACCACAGGGGTCTGTCATTCTCTGCCCCAAACAGAAGGAAACTTCCCCTCCTAAGGTGACAACTCCTTCTGCAACCCACGGCGAGCCTGCCTTCTGCAGGACTCTGCCTCCTGACACTGAAGGGTGCACAGCAAGCACTTCACTGTGCATCCGCCACCCTGGGTCATATTCTTCTAGGCCCAGAGGACACCATTTCCCAGCCCCGTCGCCTCGAGGCAGGGTCACATGACTCACCCTGGACACAGCATAGGAGCAGTAGTGATCAAACCCCTTGTGACTTATGAAATCCCCTCCTCCACTCGCTCCTGGTCCCCAGAAAACTTGGAGCCCACCCACAACTGGAGGATGATAGCGTCATGCTCTGGAAGCAGCCTGGGCACCTGAATGGAGGTCCCAATACATTCACTGTGACATGGGTAAGCAGTGACGCTTGCAAGATTTTCGCGTTTGCTCGTGCCTGCGACAGAGCCCAGGACCACGCAGCTGGATCTGATGGCCTGACACTTCCAGGGAAACAGCCCCTGAAGGAGGCTGCGTGGCCCTGACCTACTCTCCATCTCGGTTCACCTGCCCCATCCCCCACCTGCGACTCCCACCCTCTGCCAGAAGGTCTAGATTCCAGCATCCCAATTCAGTGCACGGTCCTTCCTGTGGTACCTGTCACTCTTGTCCAGCAGGGCGCCCTGGAGCTCCCCAGAGGGCACTTAGATCAGGCCCTCGTGCCATTCCACCACAGCGCCCTGGCCTGGGCCTCGGCATCCCCACTTACCCTGGTAGGGCTCAGAAGGCCTCTCCTTCTCTGGTACGTGCAGGCGCACCTGAGAGACTACCTGTGCCAACACCCAGCCGACTGCGCCCTGGCCCAGCCTCCAGCCTAAGGAAGACCCATAAACCCTCCTGGCTGAGTAAACACATTTTATGGGGCCTGGGGACACTTCCTGGCCGTCCTGCCCCCACCTTTCCTTGTCCTGCTCCAGTCTGCCCAGTGCCCCCAGCACCTCCCCACCCCCCACCCCAGGCCTCTCAAACCCATCCTTTCACCCCCTCTGTCCCCAGCCCCTATTCCTTAACATCTGCATCCCAGCTGTGAGGAGGGTGGGGAGTTTCTTCTCTTATCAGCCGTTTTACTGCCCCCTCCTCCCTGGTCATGCAGCCAGTGGGGACAGAACTCCTGGCAAGGACAGGTCGATGCCTGTCAGCTCCCAGCCGACGGTTTACTGAGCAGAGACGGGCCTCCTCGGTGCTGTCTCAGGGGCAGGTGAGGGGCGTGCCTGCAGGAAAGGTGCAGAAAAGACCCCAAAAAGCACGAAGAGGCACCCCGGTCCAGGCGCCTTGGAGAGAGGTGGGACAGAGAAGAACAGAGGGAAGGCAGGGCCAGACCAGAGCCATGTGGGGGGCTCAGCACTCAGCCCAGCCCTGTCCCAGAGACGTAGCCCGGCAGTGACACGGGGCCCCTCCCTGAGCCTCCACCTGCAGGACAATGGAGACACGGGGGCTCCGGAAGGCACATTCTGGAGTCTAGAAGCAGCAGAACTGCGAGAAGTCCAAGAAGGTTTCCGGGAACACCCCTCAAGCTGTGGTGTGGCCCAGGACAGAGTTGGCCACCTGGGACCCAAGCGTGGCATTGCAGTCTTCCAGAGGCCTGGCCGGAGCCAGCGGGAAAAGCCACAAGCCAGAGGAAGGGCAAAAAGGCGGACACGCCGCCCCAGGTCGCCTCTGGGGGCAGGCTTCCTCTTCCCTCCAGCTCCGTGCCCTGTTGCCCACCGGCTGTGACTTCAGGGCCCTGGGCCTTGGCCACCCACCTGGAGAAGACCCTTTGCAATAAGACTGAAGCCAATTTGGCAACGGTGAGGCCCTTGACATTGAGCCGGCGAGGACTCTGAGCCTGTGGGCACAGCGTACAGCCTGTTCCAGCTCTTCCCATGTAACCTGCCTCGGGGGTGATTTCAAGTGGTCCATGGAAGTGCCCGGGGCCACGGAATAGTGCCTGGCTGATCTGATATGAGGATCCCCGTTGTTCACCGCTGCTTGCCCTCTCGATTTCAGGAGTTTGGGGAGAGGAAGTAGCCACCCTTCACAAGCCGCACACTGGGCACGCACAAAGCCCCCTCTGCCCTATCGGCAGCTGCCCATGGAGCACAAGGCAGTCCCTGCTCTCTGCGGGGCTGTGGAAAGGCAGAGTGCGGCATTCTGTGAGGCCCCAAAGAAACTGGGCCTGTCCTTCTCCATCGAGGAGATCTTAAAGAGGCCCGCCAGGAGGAGCGACGGGGTCCGGTGGGAAGGGGCAAGTGGGCCGGGCACCGGGGAAGCCGAAGTTGCAGACTCCAGGCCAGAGAGGCCCCTACAGGACCAGCCCCAGGGTAAGTGACTTCTGGTCATTTCTTATTCATCCTTGGGTCTCCAAGACCCAGCTGGGCTCGGGCAGAGGAGAGGCTACTCCGTCTTGACAGGAGAGAGGGCACGGGCTGGGGCCTTACATCTCTTTCTGTCTAGCCCAGGACCACGGCTGTTTGATGTGAAACCAAGGCTCAGTCATTTGCCGAATGCAGAGAGGGGGACTTGTTCCTCTAACCAGGCCACAGCTAAGAATGCTCATTATCACTTACTCAGCGTTTACAAAGTGACAGGCACTGTCCCGGAGGCTGTGCGTGCCTCCTCTTTAACTTCAGTGGAAAGGCGCAATGATCATAACCTCACAGAGGCGGAAACTCGTCTACGAATGAGATGAGGTGGATGGTGTCCCCAAGTTGCCCAGTGAGTAAGCGGAAGACCCGCGATCAGGACCTGACTTTGGTCACCCCTAAACACTGCTCAGTCAGGCACATTCTTCTTCTTAAGCCGAGTCCAGCCTGCTCAGCTTCCAGTGGCTGAAGCTTTGCCTGGGTCTGCCCACCCTGGTTGTTCCCCTCCAATCCCCAGGCCAGTGGCCCACCCCAGAGCATGTCCCCAAATAACAGTGACCAGATTTGAGACCCCTCCCTGACAGCTGGCCTCAGGGAGGACCCTCGGGTGGACAGGAGCACCTTGCTAAGAGTCAGGAAGTTGTGACGTGTCTCGGTTCCACCTGAGCCTGTGTGACCTTGGGGAAGTCCCTTCCCCACTCAGGCCTCAGCTCTACCCTCAGTGAGCCAGTTGCGTGAAGGAAGGGGACACCGAGGTGTTGTCCCAGGTGTCCACTGGAGTCTGACAGTCGATGAGCCTGGCGTTCTCACATGAGGTTCCCAGCTCTCTCCCCATTTCCACCCCTTTAATCCCAGGAGAGGCTGGAAAGGAAGCTGGGGGAGCCCGTGATATCATGAGGTCATCTCTTATCATACACAGAGCCCCATCCCACCCCGCCCCCAAGTCTCCCAAGAGGGGGTTGTACTCAGCTGCAGGGGAAGACCTGAGAGGGCCACTCCTTCTTGGTGGGGAGTGGGGGGCGGGTCTCCCCGTAGCCAACCTTCTTAATGGGAAAGGATTCTCAGCTTCATTTTCAGAAGTCCATTAGTATCTTCCAGGGAATTGAATGAGCATTCACAGAAACAATTCTTCTGGGAGTCTAACCTCGGTCTCTCTTGCTGCAGCTACACAAAATCCATGGCTGTCTTCTCTGAGACAGAGAGAGAGAGAAAAAGAGAGAGAGAGAGAGAGAGAGAGGAGGTTGGATCTCCCCTCCTGAGGGGCTTCCCTTCTCCTAGCCTGACAATGGCTGATGGCAAAAAGGCGGGCGGTCGCTTTTTCTGAAACTCCCTTAAAGATTCTGGCATGTTCCATGTCCACTACCCTACTACACCCAGACCAAGCCCCCTGTAAGCGATCACCAAAACAGCAGTGGCGACGTTAGACGGGTTCCTGGCTCACGGCCCTCTCATGGCCGTCCTTCCTTCAAACTGTCACCTTTGTGAGCCGCCACCTTACAGACTGTAAACCAAGAGGAGAGGACAAACCACAAGCAAAAACTACATGAGTGGTTAGCACCAGAATTGAGCCCTGGAGACCTGAGACCAGCCACTCTCGATTGTCCCCGAACGTGGTTTAAATCCATCCATCTCCCTCCCGGGGGCCTGGAATTCCGTATTTCCAAAAGCCCGGCACAGACCCCACGGGTGATTTTCAAGATGACTCCGAGGGGCACGCAGACAAACATGGTTTATATCAGTAGTTCCAGTTATTTCTACTCTAAGCTTCTGTTTAGGGCCCATGATACCGGTTGCTTATTCTGGGTCACGATGGGAGGTTTTGTTTTTAAATAAGTTTACTTATTTACATAAACAAAAGAAGTCTGTTTGGGAAGATGTTGAACAAATAATAATTCAGATGGGATGGCAACCTGTCAGAAACCACCGAGGTACCTGGCAGACACCGGAAGGGAGCTGGGGTCTGTGAGACGCTGGGCGAGGAGGGCCAGGAGCTGGGATTCCGGAAACCTGGTCTCAAAACCCCAGTCTGGCACCAATTGACAGGAGGGCCTCCGGGGAGCCGCCCCTCCTTGGGCCTCCATCTCCCCGTCTGGAACATGGACGGACAGAGCCGGCACATTCTGAAGGTGCCTCCCAGCTCTGACACACCACGACCAATTCCGCAACGAACTGTTTGCTAAAAAGCCTTGACAGTTTCAGTCCTGTGATTTTCCACGGCAGAGACTCCCCCTGAGCAGAGGGGGCGACTCCCCGCCAGGCGGGCAGGGGACAGGGTGGCCGGGAAGGGTGGGCCTCTCCCTGCCCTCCCAGGACCCCCTACCCCGCCGTTTCCCTCATGGCAGGCAGGACCAGAAATGGTGTGGCCAGGCCCTCTGTCACCCCAATAACAGAGTGAGGAGTAAATCCCTCTTGGCCCTCCCTTACCACTCACAGGGCTTCGGGGAGTGGTTCATGGAGGCTGGCTGGCAAACATTACCTCCGATCCCAGTCAGCGGGAGTTTGTGAGAATGTAGCATCCCAGGCCCGGCCCAGCACCCAAGACTCAGGCTCCAGGTCTAGGATGGGGCCCAGGAATCCAAAGCCTAACCAGCTCTCCCAAAAGTGGTCCAAAAATGAACATGGCCCAACGACCACTCTCAGGGGTTCAGGGAGGCAGAATGGCTTGTTCCGAGCTGCAGAACCAACACTGCCAGGAGCGGGGGGGCCAAGCCAGTTATCCAGAAGGTCCACCCTCCCCACATCTTTCCACTCTCAAGGGGACCCTCCTAATCTAAGGCTTGGACCCTGCCACGTCTCAAGCCAATGGAAAATTCTAAGAGGGTCTCCCAACTAAAGAGGATGCTGAGCCCAGCTGGCCGCTCCCTTTTCTGAGAGAGGCAAGCTCCCCGAAGCCAGGGAACCCTTCCAAGTCAGGGGAGGCTCCCTCAGGGGAAGCTGCTTCATACCAGAGGCTCAGACCTCGGGGGGAGAGAGACCATCTCTGTACCCGTCCCACTGGTGACCATCCACCAGGAAATTGTGACTCCTGAAGGAAACAAGAGAAGAAGGGACCACCTCAGTGGGTAAACCACTAAGGTTGTCTGGCCTGTGGGGCACCCAGATATATTCCCTGGTCAGCTCTTGAGCCCTTTGATGACTCAGCAAATAACTGCTGAGTGCTCACGCTGGGCCAGGCTGGGGCCTGGGAAGGTGCAGGTGGATGAATAGAGCTGGACAGAGGGACCACCCCCTGGAGCTGGGTGGGGTCAGTGGCAATGAGGCCCTGGGGCCACCACCTTGGAGCTGTGCTGACTTCTGCCCGCTTGTCTGGGAGAGGTGACCGGGATGGTGGAATTCTTGGGATTTGAGGAATGTCCTAGAGCGGTGGTCAGAAAAGTTTTTCTACAAAGGACCACATAGTAAATTTAAGTTTCAGCAGCTAGATGGTCTCTGTAGCCATCACTCGGCTCTGCTGCCACAGCTGTAAAGGAGGCAATGTGCATGTGAATGGGTCTGTCTTTGTTCAAATTAAACTTTATTTACAATCACGAGCAGAGGGCTGGATCTGGCCTCGGGCTGCCTGCGGTTTACCAACCCCTACCCCTTCATTGGTGTGTCAAGTCCTTCGCAGACCGGCCCTGCTGGTCCCCAAGGCCAGCTCCCATCATGCCTCCCTGCCCCTCAGTCTCTACCCTCCAGGCACCGGGAGCTTCTCTCCCGCTTCTAGTCCTTCCTACTCTTTAAATGTCTCCAAGACCTTGTCCTTTAGAAAACTCTGCCCAACCCCCCCACACGCACATCTTCTCGCGCCTTTTCCTCTTCTTTTTTTCTTCCTCCCGCTTGCTTTACACCATGGAAATTTATTCCCTTACAGTGCTGGAGGCCAGAAGTCCAAAACCAAGGTGTCTGAAGGGCAGTTCCTCCTACAGGCCCTGAGGGAAAACCTGTTCAGTGGCTGTCGCCCAGCTTTTGGCGGCTGCAGGCAATCCTTGGCCACGTGTGGCCTGTAGGTGCATCACTCCACTCCTGCCTCCTTCTCGCCTGGCCTTTGCCTCTGGATCTGGGTCAAATCTCCCTCCCCAGTCTCACTTCACGGCGTCAGTCGTAGGACTTAAGACTCACCCTAAATCAGAAGGATCTCATCTCACAATCTTTACGTAAATCTACAAAGATAATGTGTCCAAATAAGGTCACATGCCCAGCTACCAGAGAATAGGACTTGGACATACATTTTGGGAGGAAACACAATTCGAGCCACTATGCCTTCCCTCACTTCTTCGCCCCCTTCATTTTCCTCTTTTTCCCTTCTCATCCCTGTTCCCCTCCTCTTTCCTTTTTCCTCTCCCTCCTTCCCCTCACCCTCCTTCTTCTTCCCTGCACCACCTCAAACCAAACGCAGGCGCTCTGCTCTCTCTGGGCACTGGGCCCAAGGCTGTGTCTGAGACCTGTGGTGTGCCTCCTGGCTCATCACGATGGCTCTGGCCCTTAAAGAGAGAGAGCCAGGGCTCCCCTGAGAGCAGACAGGAGCAGGGCTTAAGGATGCAGAGCTAAAAGCTTGTACTTCCCCCCAGAAGAAGAGTGGTTGGGTCTCTCTCTTTCAAACTCCCCCTCTTAGTCCCTGCCACCAAAGTTATAGCCTAATGTGGCCATGGGGACATTCCTATAGGGCTGGGGCACCTGGAGGTTGGTTCTGAAATTGAGAACCTGACTCCTTCTTAGGCCTTGTGGGAGTACAAGGCAGTACAAGACTTGACCCCTGCTTGCAAAAACAAAAAACAAAACACACACACACACACACACACTGTATTTGTGTGGGATCCTCCACAAAGAAGACCCAGAGGAAAGGATTTAAGCACAAGTAAGCTTATTTGTGTTATGCAAAGACCTCCAGCAATGAAGTGGTGCAACAAAGAAAGGAAGACAGTGAACAGAGGGTATGTGATCAAGTCAGTGATCACTGTGCAAAACTGAGGCTTAAA